AAGAAAGAAAGAAAGAAAGAAAGAAAGAAAGAAAGAAAGAAAGAAAGAAAGAAAGATCTGTTCGAGCACCATGGGCAGGAGGAAAATCATAATCGTTGTGTGAATGTGTGCGTGTGAGATATATATTTATTAAAAGAAATCCTTTGGAAACCACTAGGTTTGACAACAGCTCCCTGTTTAAATCTGTATTATCTTGCTGAACTGATTTCTTCTGGATCCTGATGTCTTACTTTCCTTCTCCTTCCCTATCTCCCTTCCTATCATCCACAGCCACTGATAGAGAAAGATACAGCATGATATTAAAGGAAACTAAAACTCATTCTTAATGTTTCAAATATAAATTGCACATATGCCTCTGAACACTTGGCCTGACCTGATGCCCTCCAGATATTTTGGATGGTAATATCCTTCATCTCCAAACTGTCATTCAAAAATCTGGGGGACATCAAGTTGGAGAAAGTTGATATAAAAGCATCAAAAATGCACATGGGCAAATACATACAGATAGTACTGTTTCCCTTTGGGGGAGAGGGGTAAGCAACAATATGCAAAGCAGAGAAAAAAGAGCAGGAAGTAATAAGTAGAAAAAAATTAAAAGCAGAAGCGAAGGAAAATAAACCCAGGTCTAGTTTACTTCAAGAGTGTTCACTACACCTCTCTATACTTTCTATTGTTGAAAACATTTCTTACTTCTCATTTCCATACCTAGTTTCGTGCACTATTTTTGTTCTGTAAACTTTTCACATCTCTTTCCTTGAGATTCTTCATATCTCCATCCAGATGCAGTTTCTCTTCCTCTGAATTCATTTGCTCAGACTGAATCATTAAAGTGTCAATTTTGAAAATTTACCTTGGATAAAAATGGTTCTTTTGCCATTAGATGACTCTGGAAGAGGCGATTATCCATAAATACTAACCAAGAAATTTTTCAGTAATTTGGGATCAAATGTCTGTAAAAAACAGCAGAGACCATTTTGCTTCTTAAGTGGATAATTTTCTGAGCCCCTTTCTCACTATGACTCTGTCTGGACATGAAGATCAGAAAGCAATCTCTTTTAATGATGCTCCCAAACATCCAAAGTAATCTTTTGCACTACTAGAGAGATGTAATACATTTCTCCATCATGGCCTCTTGCTGATTTTAAAGTGTGTGTGTGTGTGTGTGTGTGTGTGTGTTTGTGCGCCTTTGAGTCAGTGTTGACTCCTGGCAACTGCTTGGACAAGTCCCTGCAGTTTTCTTGGCAAGGTTTTTCAGAAGTGGTTTGCCCTGGCCTTCTTCCTAGGGCTGGGAGAGGGTGACTGGCCCAAGGTCACCCAGCTGGCTTTGTGCCTAAGGCAGGACTAGAACGCATGGTCTCCCAGTGTCTAGCCTGATGCCTTTAACCACCACACCAAACTGGCTCTCTGTATGTCTTAGTACTTTTATCTTACTATTTGATATGATGTGGGAGCTGTTAACTGCCTTGATGTGCTAATTAGAGTTAGGGGAGGTTAGGGTAATTGTTGGGAAGGTTAGGGATAGGTATAAAATAACTTCCCAAAACTTGACATAACAATTCAGAAGTAGTTTCAAGCTTTCTTCATGAACACATAAATATATATGTGCCACGGATTCCTATCAGAATAAGCAACGTTATGCAAAGTATGGAAGAAGTGGAAGATTAATCATCCATATACCAATTCATATGTTGCATTTTGTTCTTTAAATTTCTCAGGTATTACTGTTTTTAATCCTTGATCTTATGAAAGTTGGTCTCTTAGTTTAATTCTCATTTTTAGCAACAGCTGATTTAGAGAAACATATTGTCAGGACGAATTATGTTGCAGCAAAAGAAATCTTGTAATGTTATAAAATTTATCATATTGCATTATGGTATAAGTAGCTATGGACCATAGATCTTGATTTTATCAACTTTATTTTTATTTAAATTAATTAGCTGCCCAACTCCAGTGGAATCTGCTAAACCTCAGCTAAATAAAGTGCCATGAGAGCTTTCTGCTGGTGTTTGTGGATTTCAAAAAAACGAAACAAAACAAAACCCAAGATGGTGCCCACAACCCACAATTGGGGTGGAGATGCAGTTGCGTGGTCATTGGCACCATCTTGACCTTATTTTACGCACACCTGTGAATGTCCCTGTTCTTCATGTTGACTGAAAACAGCAGATAAAAATTCCAAATATGGAGCTGTTCTGCTTCTGAATCCTTAAGATTCAGGCTGTGAACTTTCCAGAAACAGTTGGCAGGCCTGCATTTTCTGAATCCCAAATGCTGAAACAGTTTTTCCAGTGTTCATTAGGTTACTATGTATAAAAATATAAAAAGACAAATACTGTATTTATCCCAATGATAAAGTTATGAACTGAGCAGCATAGAGATTCAGCAAAATACTCAGTTACAGTAAATGATTAATTGCTTAGACAAAACAACACAATTTGATTTTGTCCTGAAAAGAAAGCAAAGTCATATCTCCCTTGAGAAATAATGAGAAGGCCATCTGTTTTGGAAATGCATGAAGAGCTTCTCCCACTGATGATGACTAATAAGGAGCAAGATGTCCTACTTCAAGGTTGGTATCTGTGCTCCGTGGTCTCAAGTAATGCTTTTCTATTTGCTGCCTGTTTGCAGATGAATATCTTTATTCTGGAACAGCCTCTGATTTCCTTGGCAAAGATACTGCATTAACACGTTCTCTAGGTTCATCACAAGACCAACATTGCATCAGGACTGATATTTCTGAACACTACTGGTTAAATGGTAAGAGCTAAATGTGCTACTGTAGAATGTATTATTTCAGAACTTGTTTTACTTAATGTTGTTATGAATAGATCTGCAGACAGAGGAATCTTTATGAAATACTCTAAGTGATTTCTGCAGATATCTTGACAGATCCCAACATTTCCCATTCAGTTCCATGTTAAGTGCATATACAGTACTGGTACATATTAGACATATATGAGGTCTCTTATTTTGCCATGGATACAGTTATTACTGTGAGCAGCAAGGTTAGATTCTGTGATGGAATGGACTTATGAAGGCCAGGCTCAGGGAGTTAAGCGTGTTCTTAGCCCCCAACAGGAGCATGGGAAGTTCAAGAAGATGAGGCTGGCACCTCTCTAAGGAACTCACAGTGTTGTGGCTGGCTGGCTTGAGAACTCGGGTTCAGTCTGGGGAGATTTCTGTCTGGAGGTGGAAGCTAATAAATGCAACAGAACTGTATTTGCATTGTCTCTTGGAGTTCTTTCGGCTGAACCTGACAGATTCTGCTTTATTGGGTCAGTGTTCTGTTAAATCAGTAGCATTTAAAAGTGTGAGGCATTGCTTTGGCCAAGAACTTAATCACAAAAAAGTCAGACAAATGGTACAATAAATGGGAATCAAATTTGTTCACTACTTATCAACTATATTCACTAATGTATGTTTATTTATTACTAGCATTTCTATTCTGCTCCGGACCCTGAATGGTGTGCAGCATAAACAAAAAATTAAGAACAGCCACAAACTAATAGTGACAACATCCTCCAGGTTAGGGCCAATCTCAAATACCCTGATGGAGAAACTCATCTGGGAGGTAGCAATCTAGATATCCAAGAGGAAGCTGTTCCACAGAAGTAGGGCTATGTGTCCCTCCAGATGGAACTCCCTTGAGATAGGACCTTCAACAGAACTTATTTCCCTGATCCACTGGACAGGCAGATTAATTCTGGGGCAAGCAATCTTGAAGATACCCAGGTTCTGCACCACTAACAATTTTTTTACTTACTCCTCCTTTCCTCCATTCATGGTGCATTCCTTCAACTTCTTTGGCAGTGTCATGAAGAAGTGGCTTCTCATGGTCTCCTTCCAAGATAATTTTTAAACTTGCCAATCAAGCTCACTATTCTGGAACTCCCAGGTGCTCTTCCATATGACTCTGCGTAGATGGCCAAACCTGGCTGGCCTTGTCTGGGTTTAGAAACTGAGCAGGATTGGGCTTGGCTAGTGCTTGGATGGGAGAGAGCTTCCAAATCCATACAAGAATGGCTCTTGCCCACATAAGAGCAGGAGAAAGAGAAATAGGATTTTGATCCTGACTCTGATATGAATATGGCCTAATTCCTAGATCCTGCAGTAGCTGATCTTCTTGGTTACTTTGTTTTATTAAAGTTGTTTCCTTGACATCTGTAATAAAAACAATTATCCAAGCGATTGGCCTTGACTCTTCTGCCACAGTTTTCTAGAGTGATTTATTGCCATGCCCTGGGTGAAGCTCTTAACAGCAAGGGCAAATCACTTTTCCATTGCTGTCAAGAAAACTACACTGATCTGTCTGTGGAAGGAATATTTACTTTTACCTACTGGAAAGATTGTCTGTATCTGTACAAATGTTATGTTGGATAGAAATATTGAATATAGATGTTTAAAACAGTTGTATTTCTCCCCAAACTTACAGTTATGTTCAACTATAAATAGTTCTGAAAAATTATGTAATCACTAACAAATAATAACCTAGGATTGGAAGTTTCTTAACTATTGCTGATCTAAAAGATGATTTCAGCATTGGGTTTATTTCGGTTTTCCACTTTCTTACTTGGAAAGAATCAATTCAGGAAATGTCAGAGTAGGAATATATAAATCTTGGCCATAATTGGTTAGTTTAAAATTAATGTTATAGAGATATGACTACAAAACCAATTCTACATTTATTGATATATGTATCGATATTTATAGATATAAATTCATATTTATGTTTACAGAAATAGATATTTTATTTCTATTTTAAGCAAAATAGAACTCTGTAGTATGTTTCATGATAACATAGGATATTATATTACTTAAATAATATAATATCAGCTCTGGACCTGTGTAATTGTTAACATTGGCTGGTTTTGAGAGCTCGGTATTTTTCATGCTGTTGGGAGCTGTGGATTTACCACACCTCCTGGCTCTTAGATGCTCTCTCCCATCAATTCTATCAATTCTGTCAATCCTATCAATTCACCTTTGGAGGCAACCTGGCTTAGATTATTATAATTTGCCTTTGTGGTAGTAGGGGTAGTCCTATAACATGGATGGGGGAAGTTTTAAGAATTAATGCTGTTTCCTTTATTGATGAGTGGAGAATGAGGATCTTTATTGTTCCAAGACCTTCAGTGACTTAGGAAGGGCATCAATTGACACAAAGTTTTCATTCTTTATTGGTCAGCTGGAACATTTTGGTATTCTCAGCATTTCTCAGTGTTTTGAGGCTGGCAGATGTGAATACCGGCTTCAAAATGATTTAGAGAAACAATTGCGGAGCGGTGTGTGAAAGTACCAGTAGAGTCACAAGTTTAGAAATAGCCATTTAGGTGAAGCAGAAGGGAATCAGCAAAGCTACTGTATAATGAAGTGTTGGAGGGCAAATAATTATGCTCTATGTCCCATCCTGTATCTCCTACTGTCCTGTTAGGCTGGGGAGTGCTGAGCATCCTGCCTGGTTTTCAATATTAAAGTAAGATTCAGTTGCTAGCCCAGTCAGTTTCTGTCCCTGTGTGCACCATTTAAGTCATTATTAACATGCTATTTCCTGTGAACATGTCAAATATGGATGAGGAAATGAATTTGCTGCTTAATCCTACAAAATTTTACTTGCCTTTCCATTGCCTTCCATGGTATTAGAATCTTCAATACAAGTATAGTACTGAATTCTACAGAAAAATTCAGTTAAGAGAAAAAGGAGGTGGAGAAAGATATCAATTTAAAGCTCTTTTGCCAATGCCTCACTGTGTTTAAAGGTCATCCAGCATGAGGAAATACAATTAAATGGTGTTACACTTGTTCCTATTATTTTTGTTGTCTTTTTAGGGGCAAAGTTTATTGGAATCTTTCCTATCCCAGACACGTATAATCCAGACGATGACAAAATCTATTTCTTTTTCCGAGAAGTTTCTCAAGAGAGTAGCACCTCTGACAGAGCCATTCTTTCCCGCATCGGCCGTGTCTGTAAGGTGAGCAATATGGATTTTGTAAAATGAACTCCAACATGTTGTTTCCTCAGTAAATACAGATCACCCCAGGGAGGAAATAATTTCCCCTAAAGTACTGTCTAGTCTACACATTATAATATGGATTAATAATGAAGTCTAGAATTCATTCAGCTTGTCTTGCACTCTTAGTTTGATAAGCCAGATGTATTTGGGCACTGGAATATTTTCATAGTTGATAATGAAGTTAAGTAGTAGCCAGTTTAATTACAGTCACTGAGCAGACAGTGTCCTTCCTACATTCCCAAACTAATTAAGCTGAGCAATCCAATCTTCTTGCAGTTCAGTTCCCCAATTTTTTTTCCACTATTGCTTTTTCGTAGTAATTGGGCTATATTCTTCATCATTTAGTTTCACCTATATTTCATTTCCCAGAATTTCAAGGACTATGGGCTACTCTTCCTTTCCTGCAGCAACTTGTCACATAGGATTTTTGCAAAGCTCCCCCACTTTTGACGACATTCACCTTATTTATTATGACTAAGATTCCAAGAATTACATAATTAGTTCTACAGTCCCATGGGTGTCTGTAGCTAATGCAGTTGCTCTCCCTCAAACAGCAGGCAGCCCATGGATATGACAAATTGTTTCTTAAAATTGAGTGGAATTCCAAAGCACTGTGTGATGTAACATGACGTCCATCTATTAAATCAATCCATAGGGCATGCCAAGTTCTTGGATGTGTATAAAGGAGTGCTTTGGATCCCACCCATTACCGGTACCTTGCATATCTATGTGAAGTTAGAATGGAAGCAAATTTCTTTCTTCTTTCCTGAGAAGCTTCATTTACTCAGTTTCCTAGAAAAAGAGATGATTTTTGCAGAATTTTCTGTGATATTCTGTCATTCTGTTTATCATGCCCTGCATTTCTCCACAATGCCCCGGAATAACACTGGGCTCAGAGCTTTATAGAAAATACAAATTGAAAACTTGGCTGCCAGCTTCAGCCTATTGATCAAAGAACCCCTTAGGAAAGAAGGTGCAGGGGGAGGGAGGGCAGAGATATTAATTTCGCCCATTGCTTAAGTCTCATGCCCAAGAAAATATTGGAGAAATGTTGTGAATGTAATTTTTAAGCAAATGGGATGGAAAACACTGAGAGACAACTCTCTCTCTCTCTCTCTCTCTCTCGATAGATAGATAGATAGATAGGTAGGTAGGTAGGTAGGTAGGTAGGTAGATAGATAGATAGATAGATAGATAGATAGATAGATAGATAGATAGATAGATAGATAGATAGTTTTTGAAAGGACCCAAATCAAGGGTGAAGCTTTAAAAGAACACACATGCATACATACGCATGTGTGTGCACCTTTGAGTCATTGTTGACTCCTGGTGACTTCCAGGATAAGTCACACACTTTTCTTGGCAAGATTTTTGGAAGTGGTTTGCCATTGCCGCCTTCTTCCTAGGGCTGAGAGAGACTGACTGGCCCAAGGTCACCCAGCTGGCTTTGTGCCCAAAGCCGGACTAGAACTCAGGGGTCCTGGTTTCTAGCCTAGTAACTTAACTACTACACCAATTTGGCTCTCTATTCAAACATACTATCCTTTTAAAATTATAAAGTGATAAAATGCAAACCTAACAAACAGAATAAAAATTAACAGTTAGTGATAATATCAACATAATATCCATCCATCTACTTTTATCAAGATTTCCAAGCAAGAAAAAAATTACCTACTGGGAAGAATGACAGCTATGATATTATCACTGATAGATGCCTCCATGTAGATGTCCTTTTAGAAAGCATTCTTCACTGCAACAGTTTGTACAATCTTTTATTATTTCCATGCTTTTCTCCTATCAATCATTAGTGATAGTTATCCATTAAGGTATTGTACGATGCTATAGAAAGGAAATGAACAGCACTGCAGTGTGAAAAACAGGTCTCTGCATGTACTGATCAGAATTTGCAGAATTCTCAACAGAGCCTGGTTTAGATATGAAGTGATAAGTATAAAATATATCTAGATTGTGATTGATAAGGACATTAAACTTTTACCACTCTTTCTGGAGTGGAACCTACTTCAATCTTTTTGTAGTTGTTAGTTTTATCAGAAAACGTTTTTGATAGAGTTGTAAATTGCTAAACACATGTGATCATTTCTGATTGCTTTATCATTTGAATCTTTATACATAATCTTAAGAAAGTTCGGAGGTAAGTTGATATTTTGCTGAGAGACCACCAGGAGAAATTTCAAGACTGTAAGTTAAACTGGGAAGTCAAAAGAGGCATTTCAGACAATAACAAACTATTTCTAAATTGTTTCCAAAAAAACAAATGATGTAGACGTATCTGTGAAATCATTCAGAGTTGGGCTCAACTCAAAGGAAACTTTACTGTACATGGACAAGAAGATTGTTGAATCAATTAATACAGATTCAGTATTAGACATTTCAAGTTAAGTTTAGCATTGTTATTTGAGAGAAGTATAACCCTACATATCAAGTGAAAATATAACTAATAGCTTCTTTCTCACTGAGTATTGCTTCATCCACTGAATGTATGTTTTAAAATTTGCTATATATTTTAGATGTAAGAATCCTGTCCCCTCCACCACCCCTATCACAAAGAGAGAATGAATAACTTAGTGGGACTGAAAGGATGAAGTAATATTTATTTACCTATTAACTGTCCATGTAATACCTTCATCCCTATGATTTTAGGCCATTGTTATAATTGTAGAGAATCTAGTGCACAAGGTGTAATTTATTCAAACACACTTATTTTAATAGTAAATCATAATAAATGATAAGCCATTGTTTAATTACAGACTTGCAGAATGAATATTTTGCATATATACTTTGTCTGCTTCAGTCTTTGGCATCTCCAGCTAAAGAAATTCAAGTTTCTGAGAATACCTGACATCAGAATACCTGACATCATTCATTTTAAATAACTGCAGAGTAGTGTAATTGTCCAGTTCCTAAAGTATTGGTAAACATAATTATTATTAATCAAAACAAGCCATCTTTATAAATTATGGTTTGAGATAGGCTTGTTTTAACTAATCAGAGCTAACAGGCATGACATTTGGTCCCTATTCTGATGCTGCCGGCTAAATATTAGTCTGATTCTTGCAAGGCTCACCAATGGTAAACATAATGTTAAAATTGCCCAGTATCAGACAGTTTAATTGAAATATTCTTTGTTAGTTGTTTCCTCCCTGTAGCCTGTTAGGGCTGTTCAGACTTTCAAGAAAGGCTTTTGTTTCATTGCAGCTTTGATCGAAACATCTGTCTGAAGCAAAACCACAAAGCAGTACCCTACTTCTGTCCACCAAGGTGGAGAAACTGCTAGAGGGTGTGAATGATTCACATGCCCCTTCTGGCTTTGTTAATTGGCTACCCTCTTTTTGGAATGTTTTCCAACCATTTTTGGTCTCATCAAACCTAACACTTATGCATGGGTGACTTGGAGGGACAAGTGATGATGTCATCATGCAAGTAATATGAATTAATGTACTTTGCATCAGTCACATCATGCACATGATTTGTGCAATGACATCATGATGTACAAGGCATCATTGTTGCTAACGTGAAATGCTGGTGTGCCCCCAGTATAACTGCCATGTTTTTTGCTCTGACTGGTCTCATTCCCCACAGCTTCAGAGAGATGCCTCCTCCGACCTAACAGGCTGGGTAATGATTTGCAGTTGTGTGGGTGGGAGGCAGTTCATTCATCTGAGAAGAAGCAGAACTAAAGCTCTGAGAATTCAGGAGAAACAGATAAATGATTTAACCAATTTGCCATAAGGGCTGAAGGGATCCTGCCTCTTCAGATAAATTTTTTGCCAATAGGTTCATCCTCCCCAAGCAGTCTGAGGTCACAAATTTCTGGTTATGCTTTCTTGCATTTTCTTCATTTCAAGTGTCTATGTTTTATACTTTGTTTCAATTACTGTATTCATGTATATTTCATCTCCCTGCCCACATGCACTCATGCACAAGCCCTAATTTGGGTTAACGTCATTTTTCATTCTGCATATCACCAGGGGATAGAGTTATAAATTGAGAGGAAGTGCTTTCAGTGTTCACAATCAGACTGAAATGCGTACTTTGTCATGACAAATGGCATTTTTGATATTTGGCTTTTTTTTTTTAAATAAAAAAAGTAGTAGTAGTAGTTATCAGTAGCTTATCTGCAGTAGCTGACATTTCTTATTTTGCTTGGGAAAAACTAGAATGTTCCCACTAATATCAAGTGAAATGCAGTTTAAACCTTTGCTTTTGCATTTTATTTAAATATACTGTGGGAGAATAGGCATACAAAATAGAAAACCAAAGGAGTTTTCTATGCAAAGGGCTCAGATTTAAAGGGCAAATATGCATACGTGGTATCATAGAGTATCACTGAGTTGTGAATGTCTAAAATCATTAACTACTACATTTCTATCAAGTTGACACATTTCTATTTCAGTTTTCTAAAATCCATTCTATCCAGTGTCTACATAAATTTGTGATTCTTTTAAAAGTAACAAAGCTGCTTAAATATTCTCATTTTAAATTCTACTTTAAACATGTATTTTTTTCTAAACATTCATTTATCGAACACTATTTCAAAAATGTGCATTTGTATGCGTGTGTGTGTGAAAACTGACTATGATTAGCAAGTATGTGTCTTCTAACATCAGGAAACATAAAACTCAGTAGACTATTAATTACTTTCCATTTGGTGCATTAATCCAGGGATTGCACATCAGATCAGATCAAACTGAATTCCTGTATTTCAATTAGTTCACAGAGAATCATGCACCTGCCTCCCTGCCTGCCTGCCTGCTATCGCACACAGAAATTTACATGTGTGTAAAAAAAAAAAAAAGGTGGAGCTTAGGTCATGTGGTTGTGACCACCATCTTAACTCTTTTGACTCCTCCACCCCTTGCTGATGTCCCTGGATCCCCAAATCCCCTTTTCATGGCCCTTGGAGTCTTCTTCAAACTGTTATTCCTGGAAACCAGCAG